CGGTCAACACGCAGCACTTACCCGAACATTGGAGGCACTCTCGATCGATATCTGCTGCTTATCGGAGACCCGCCTGCAAGACTCGAGCTCTGTGCTCACTTTGCGATCCCCTTCAGGTGACGCAAGCAGTGTTTTCTCATTGCGCCTATCCGGTGACGATACAGATTCGAGCACCGGCCAAGTCGGTGTTGGCATTGCCCTGAGTCCCCGGGCTGAAGCTGCTCTGGTTGATTGGATTCCAATCAGAAGCTGGATGTGTGCGGTCCGATTGGCTGGCTCGTTCAAGGCTTCGAAGTCGCGCGGGACTAATAGGTGTATATTCATCATCGCTGCCTACGCAACGATAAACTCTAGTGATGACTGGATACAAGATCACTTCTATCCTCAACTGACCCAGCTCCTTCGCTACAGAAGAAGCTCGGGCATTGTTTTGCTGGCTGGGGTTCTGAACGCTCAAGTTGGATAGTTATCCACTGATGAACTACATTTGAGCGACCAACATGGTGTAGGCTCCCGTAATGAAAACGGTGAGCGGTTACTTCATTTGTGTGAAAATGCTCGCTTATTTCTTGCGAGATCTAATTTCAGACACAGCACTCGCCAGAGGGTGACGTGGTACTCACCAGCCTTGGACACATTGCTATCAGTTACCGATGTAGAGGTTGCGTCCAGAACTGTCGCTCGATTTGGAGCACATGTGTAGACACAGACCGTGCACTTGTCTGTGCTGTCCTGCGGATGCGTTTTGGCGGACGCCCACGACGACGTTGTGACCGCATCGACACCAACCAACTTGCGAAGCCAGTTGTTCTGAATGCCCATCAAACTACGCTGTCATACGAGTTGGGTAAACGCCCACTGGATGCAATTGAAGCTCACTAGTCTCATATTCACCAGACCTTACCAGTAGCAGGAAAATCCTCATTTGGTAATTCTAATCGCCGACATGGACATTGGGTCTCTTCACAATCTCTGGAACTTATAGATGCTCGCCGGCATATCCCGGCTGGAAGCGAACACAATGAGCTCCGGTCAAAACTCCGTGCTAGCTTGAAGAGAGACCGGGAATCCTGCTGGTCTCATCGTGCATCAGTGATGGAAATGGCCGCTGCCCTTGGTAAGCATCTTAAGTTATTCCGTCTGATACGGAAATCGGGCAGCGGGAGACCTGGTGTTAGTGAAACAATTTGTGACGAGAGTGGACAGCCTATCCACAACTTGTCAAAATGCGTGGAGCGTTGGGCTGAGCACTTTCAAAGGTAATTTAACCGGCCGGAATCGTTAGATTTCTCGTCGGCCTCTGATTGCCCGTCTCCTTGGGCTGTCACTTTGGATCCATCCTCTCGCTCAGAAGTCGCACGTGATATCGCATTGTTAAAGTTAAATAACGCCGTGCGACCATATGATCTTCCTCCAGCTTTCTTCAAATTCGGGGGACCTGCTCTTGTGGATGATTTATACGAGTTACTAGTGAAACTGGGAGCATGGAACTGTCCCAACCGACTGGAGCCGCTCCGTCATACTCCCAGTTTTCAAGGAAGGCTCACTATCGTACTGCTTCAGCCTTGGAGGAATCAGTCTGATCTCCATCGCCTCCAAATTGCTTGCCTCTGTCATCCTTCACAGACTGACTGGCACTCGCGAAAGCCAGATTCGTGAGGTGCAAGCCGGATTTCGTCGAGGTCGTGGCTGCATTGACCACATCTTCATTTTGTGTCAGTTGTTGGAGCAACGTCACATATATTGGCGGCCCACCGTTGTCGTGTTCCTCGATATCAAAGGTGCATTCGATTCGGTTGATCGATGTGCGCTTTGTAATTGTCTACTCAGGAAAGGTGTACCTGAGAAATATGTAAATATTATCCGAGCGTTATATGCGCGTAGCTCTGGCAGAGTAAGGGCTTACGGCGAGCTGTCGTCGCCCTTTAATATCTCCAGCGGTGTGAGACAAGGTTTCCCATTGTCACCTTTCCTCTTCAACTTCGCTGTTGACGAAGTCCTGGAAATCGCATTTACAGGACACGACTTAGAAGGCATAGATCTGCTCCCAGGCAAACGACTTTTTGACTTAGAGTATGCTGATGATATTGCCCTAATCTGTGACACCTCACAAACGTGCCAAGCGGCACTGGTTGGATTAGCACTAGCTGTCCGTCGATTCGGGTTTTGCTTCGCAGCCTCGAAATGCAAAGCGTTCCTCCAAGATTGGTCTGGACCGCCCCCTACGCTGACCGTTAGTGGGGATCAGCTAGAAGTCATACAAAAATTCAACTACCTGGGAAATTGTATCAGCGCCCGTGGGATTGAAGATGTGATCACGAAAAGTTTAGCAGAAGCTCGAAGTGCTTTTGCTAACGTTCGCCATTTATTGCGCCGGTACGACATCACTCTCGCCCTGAAGGGTAGAGTGTACAATGCAGCGGTATGTTCAACCCTACTGTACGGTTGTGAAAGCTGACCCCTTAAAGCAGCGGACCTGAAGAGCCTAGTTACCTTCGGCCATCTGTGCCTTCGCAGTTTGGCTCATATCTGGTGGGAATACCGCGTGAGCAACGAGCGTGTTCGACGCGTTGTTCACGGCACAGGAAAAAGAAATGAACCGCTCAGCACCGTTATTTCACGCACCAGGCTCCGATGGCTCGGCCACGTGTTACGCATGCCAGCCCACCGACTCGCGACGTGCGTTGTTTTCGCGCCGGGGATGTGGATGGAAGAAGAGGAGGGGTGGCCAAGCTTTGACTTGGTCGAGAGGAATGAAGGCCCTCACTTCGGATCTGGCCTCGGTTGGAGCGTCTCGACTCGCTGGTTGGAGTCCGAAAGACGATGAACATGTTTGGCTGGATACACTTGCTGATATGGCTAGGAGCCTACCTCAGTAGCGTTCGTGCTGAGTTTTTTTTTGTTCCTCTCCATCTCTTAGTCTCCCCTTCCAACCACGACCTCACTATTTAGCCTTATATAATTAAGCATAGAAAATTTTTTTGCTGCGTAGTAACCGGCTGGTAGCTTACCGGAACGATGCCCATCCGTTACCGGTAGCTGAGCTGGCTTGCTCCAGTTGCATTTTTTCTCTCCTTTTTTCTCTATACTGCGGCACAGTAGCTGAGGTTTTTCCCACCCCTAGCTAACGTGTATGATGATGATTCGATTCCAGCAGCTAAATCTGTTCTCCCTCGAGCTGCGCCGTCGCCGGGGTGATCTCATCTACACTAGGCGCATTCTCCGAGGTGAACTTGCAAGTGAGTTACAACAACTCTTCCGGCCCAACACTGACTGTTCCACACGAGGTCACACATGGAAACTGTTTTAAGCAAAGAAGACACAGAATTCACATGCATGTCACCCTATCCACTAGAGTGGTGAATGATTAAAACAGCCTACCGGAAGAAATTGCAGACGCTCCATCCGAGGAAAGTTTCAAGCGGCTGCTAGATAAACCTTCCCTGAGAATGCTGAAATCTTGCGGGTGTCACTGCAATTGCGACGAACCCTGGAGGAACGTCGTAGTGCAACGGCACTCATCAAACCCAGTATGATACGGAATCGATGGAGCTGACAAGGGATTTCTCTCCTGCTATCTACAACTCAGTGAACTCAATGAACTTTAAATCGGCGGCTCGGGCGTCCAGCCGTCTACGTGGTATTTATTTTGCATTGCAGCTTGTCGCACTACTTGGACATGGAAGAGCTCAGAACGCCGGACCGAAGGAATATTACATGTCTGGCGACCCTGCCAGTTCACGACAGCAGTCCACCGAGCTAGATTGTAGCCCTTGAGGCAATAGTTAACCTTTTATTGTGCTGCTTGTCGTCGAATCTCCCGAACCTAATATACCGTGCTCAATACCTCTTTCAGGTACATAAATTGGTGCCGGTATGGGCCATTATGGGCGTTGCGGACAGCACCTGCTATGTGGGGGGATACTGTAGCCGGTCCGCGGGCGTCACGTTAACAGGTAAGAGGTCGATCGGTTTTGCTTCCTGTTATCATTACCCTCCTATTCCTCTCCGGCACTCTTCCTTCCCTTTTCCGTGCTTCCTTAGCTGCTTCCTCTACCTCGGCCTCTTACTAGGCGGCTCGGGCTTCCAGCCGTCTACGAGGTATTTATTTTGCATTGCAGCTTGTCGCACTACTTGGATACGGAAGAGCTCAGAACGCCGGACCGAAGGAATATTACAGTTGTAGGGTACACAACGAGACACAACGAGACTGGACCTTAACGTGGTGCGACGGTTTGCGTACCTCATTGACCCATTGAGCTATACTGGGTGATGCCTTCGAGCACCTTGAGAGCTACTCCTACCAGGTTGGTCAATGGTGAGAGGTCAGACAAACTCAGTCTCCTGGTCCTCCAGGTTGGGGGTTTGAAATGGGATGGCGTCCATTTCTGTAAAACTAAATCACTGCCACCCGCTGCCTTGCGGACAGGCTTTTGAGCCAAAGGCTTTGGATGAGGACCCTAATCGTTCTCCTGTCTAGGTCTGGGCGCCCTGGCAGTATCCCAGCCCACATACAACCATGACATTTTCTTCAAACATAAACTTCATCCTGCATCGGCCGTCGCGCAGATTATCAAGGGTCGCCTTATCTGCTGCATACAGCAGGGCGGATAAGCGAAAGCATGCTACTGCTGGCGCCTCCCTTCTTTCTTTTCCACCTTTTTCTCTTACTCCCATCCCGGCCCCCATTACTAACTTTCCTTCTATAATTCCCAGCTTAATTGACAGCAACCGAAGTGCTACTAGAGTAGAACCATCTGCAGCCACCATCCCACAGCACCTATCGGACGCCTATCGGCAAAAGTTCCTTATAAGACCACGCTGTCCCGTTTCCATGGCGACATTCAACGTCCGCACTCTAAGACAAACAGGTCAGCAGGCTGCACTCGCACGCACCTTGCACACACTGGGTGTTGATGTGTGTTGTGTGTCCGAAACTAGGATTAATGACCCTAACGGGGTTATTGAATTGACTGCACCCGGCTTATCCTCTCGTTATTGGTTGCACGCATCCGGAGACTCCGATGCGGCACTCACGGGTCAAGCTGGTGTAGGTATCATTCTCAGCTCCAAGGCTGAGTCATCGCTGGTTGATTGGATTCCGGTGAACAGCCGTTTATGTGCAGCCCGTTTGACGACATCAGCTAAGGTGAATTCGCGAAGTAAAACAAAACGCTGCTTGTTTGTCATTTCTGCTTATGCTCCCACGGACTGCAGTTCTAATGCAGTCAAGGACACTTTCTATCACGAACTGAACACGCTGCTACGCAGTGCTACTAGTTCAGATATTATAGTACTTGCAGGGGATATGAACGCACAAGTAGGGCGTCTGAGCTCTTCAGAAGCTCAGCTGGGTGGTAATTATGGACTTAACTCCGAACGGACTGACAACGGCGAGCGTCTGCTGCAACTGTGTGCGGAGCACCAGTTGTTTCTTACTAGCACTGCTTTTAGACACAGTGGGCGCCGAAGTGCCACTTGGCGTCCACCTGTAGCTGGTCAGCGATGGACCCAAATTGACCACGTAGCCATAAGTTACAGGTGGCGCGGTTCCATTCTGGATTGCCGCTCGTACTGGAGTACCTGTGTCGACTCTGACCATGCCTTGGTGCGCTGTCGTTTCTCCATGAACTTTACCGGAAGGCGCACAAAGCGTCTCCCGCGATTGGCAATGGAGAAATTGTCCCAGCCCTCTGTCAGGCAAGCCTATCAAGAAGCACTGCATAGCGAACTCTCGCTGTCTTGTCCTAATGACACTGAGCTTCAGTGGAATAGGATCTCGGCCACTATGCACGACGCAGGAGCATCTGCTTGTGGCACTATCAGTCGTCATCGCACCAGTCACTGGATATCCGAGAGGTCCGTGAACCTTTTGGATGCTAGAAGGCACCTCCCGGCTGGTTCTGAACACAATGTGACCAGACGGGCTATTAGGCGTGAACTAAAGCGGAGCCTACGTGCTGACAAGGAAACCTGGTGGACCAGTAGGGCTCAAGAAATGGAGGAGGCAGGAGCAGTAGGCAATTACCGGAAGCTCTTCCAGCTAATACGCACCACTGGTCCGAGAAAACCAGGCGTCAGTGAGACAATCAGGGACAGCGCGGGTGCGCTGATACACAATAAGGAGCGCCGTATGGCTCGTTGGGCTGAGCACTTTGAACATCAGTTCAGCTGGCCCCCTGCTCCCGGACCTCTTCCTACTCAGGTGATGCAGGACGAGCCATGGACGGTTAGTTTAGAGCCTCCGTCGGAGGCCGAGGTCCGAAACGCGATCACAGCCCTCAATCGTTTTCGTGCCGCTGGCCCGGATTCCCTACCACCTGCACTATTTAAGGATGGAGGTGAGGTCCTCTGCAAAGCACTGACCTCCCTATTCGAACGTATCTGGAACGAAGAGAGTGTGCCGACTAATTGGAGCGAATCGATTATAGTGGCAATATACAAGAAGGGCAGTCGCACAGACTGTGCGAACCACAGGGGTATTAGCCTAACGCCAGTTGTGACAAAATTACTGGCCTCGATTATCGTTCGTCGCCTCACTGCAGAACGGGAATCTCGGATTAGAGAAGAGCAGGCCGGTTTTCGCCCAGGACGTGGCTGTATAGACCATATATTTACTTTGCGGCAGGTGCTAGAGCAGCGCCACGCATACCGCAGACCGACAATAGCTGTGTTCCTCGATTTCAAGAGTGCGTTCGATTCAGTCGATCGATCGATTCTGTTCGAAATACTTGCGCGGAAAGGTGTTCCCACGAAATATGTGAACATCCTTCGTGCTCTATACTCGAACACTAGAGGCCGCGTCAGGGTCTATGGTGCCCTATCGGATAGCTTTTCGACTACAAGTGGCGTTCGACAGGGTTGCCCGATTTCCCCATTTTTGTTCAATTTCGTCGTGGATTCTATCATGGAGTGTTCCCTTGCGGAATCTCACGATGTAGGTGTTGAAGTGCTGCCTGGTGAACGGTTAGTTGATCTAGATTATGCGGACGATATCGTCTTGCTTTTCGACAATGTTGAGGCGGCACAATCAACCCTGAATAGCCTATCCAGAGTGGTCCCATTGTTTGGTATGCACTTCGCACCTTCAAAGTGCAAAGTGCTGCTGCAGGACCACCAGCCACTCGATGACCCCTTGACGCTTACTAACGAGGAACTCGAGGTGGTTGATCAATTCACTTATCTTGGCAGCTGCATCAGCAATGATGGGCGCATAGAAACTGACGTGAGCTCACGCATTGCAAAGGCTAGAGCTGCCTTCTTGAACCTGCGTCATCTTTGGCGACAGAAGGGAGTTTCCCTTCGTCTGAAAGGCCGTGTATACAAGGCCACAGTGAGGGCCGTTCTGCTGTATGGTAGTGAGACTTGGCCCCTTCGGTCTGAAGATCTGAGGCGCCTTCAAGTCTTTGATCATCGTTGTTTGCGAAGCATTGCTGGTGTCGGATGGCACCAGCGTGTCCGCAACGATGATGTGCGTAGGCGAGTACTAGGTGGTGATGATCATGCTAGCTCCCTAGAACAACAGATAGCACTGAATAAGTTACGTTGGCTCGGGCACGTGCTACGCATGCCTGTTCACCGCTTACCTAGGAGGGCCTTGTTCAGTCTACCAGGTGTCGGATGGCGCAAGGCTCGAGGTGGACAGAAGTTGACTTGGCAGCGGGAAATGAAGTCACTGACGACCAAACTGGGTGCCGTTGGTCCGTCTCGCCTTCCGGGTTGGAGTCCACGTGACTCACCTTGTGCTTGGCTCGAGACTTTACAGGACATGGCTCGCAACCGACACCAGTGGCGCGTCTGCTGCCGTCTCCTAATCGGATTGTCTGTTTAAAGTGTGTTTGGTGCTGAGTTATCTGCGGGGTAATGGCTGATTATGACGCGGGGCAGTGAAAGCCGCAAGGAAGCTGTCTCGCCGATGCCGCCTTATCTTTGCACGATAGCCAGCTGTTTGTGACGGTATGTTGTCTACACAAGGTGTAGGCACCTTGACCCTGAATGTTTGCTTAGGGCATTAAGGTTTGCAGGTAAGTCCCCCTTCTCTCCCTCTTCTTATTCTTTATTTCATAGGTCCTCATGGTTGTATGGCAGCGAAGCATCAGTTCAAATGGCTGATGTACTGCTGTTGATGATGATGATGAGGGTACGCAATCTCTACTAGCAGAAGAAGACGAATTTTCGTCTGTAAAGGCGTCAAAATCAGCTCGGTGAGTCGATTGCGGGTAGAGGCTTGGTCTTCGGAAATTATGTTATAAATGGGAATGCATTCACCAACACATGGTGGTCTCATCGTGCGTCAACGATATAAGAGACCGCTGCCCTTTTCAACCATCGAAAGATTTTCCGTCTAAGAAAACGGGCAACAGGAGACCTGGTTTTAGTTGAACTTCGTGACGACAGTGGACAGCCTATTCACAACTTATCGGAACCCTTGGAGCTTTTGGCTAAGCACTTTGAAAGACTATTTACTCAATCATAACCGTCAGATCTCTTCTATCGCGATGAGACTGGATCTTAACGTGGTTCGATGTTTTGTGTGCCTCAGATCCATTGAGCTGTGCTGGGCCGTATTTTTTGAACCTTCATAGTCACTCACCAGATTCTTCAATAACTAGAGGCCAGACAAGCGCAGTCTCCTGGCCCTCCAAGTTGGGGGTCAGAGTGTGGGTGGCTCCTTACTCCACAAAACGGACACTCTGTAGTCCAATGCCAAAACCTCACTGCTTTGCGGTAAGGCTTTTGAACCAAAGACTTTGGTTGAGAACTCTAATTGTTCTCCTGCCTAGGCCTGGGCAACTTGACACTATCCTGCCCATGCAATATAACTATGAACTTCCCTTCACACGATTTCCTGATGCTCTTCCCGTTGCAGAGGATACTAAACGGCGCCCTATCTGCTACATCGAGCAGGGTGGATAGGGGTTTGGATGCTACTGCTCAGGCCTTTCCGCATTCTTATTCCCCATCGTGCGCTTTTTCATCCTTAGCGTCCCGCTCCAACTTAACTTTTATCCCTCGTTTTCGAACCCCGATTCTTAGCCCTTCCCCACCTTGCTTCATTAATCGCTTGTCTTCTAGGCTCAACTTACACACAATCGCAGGGCGTCGCTCTAGTGCAGTCAACAAATCCATGTTCCACCAAGCTCACAACGTCAGTTCATCCGTTTCCCTCTGGAACCTTCAGTCCTCGCTAAGACTAGTATGCCACAGCGTATGCAATTTGCTACAGATTGGCCAACATGCAACACTTGCCCGAACACTCGAGACCCTATCGATCGATATTTGTTGTTTATTGGAAACCCACCTGCAAGATTCAAGCTCTATGCGATCCCCCATATGCAACACTGGAGGCACATTCTCATTGCGCCTATGTGTAGATGACACAGCTTCAGGTGCTGCTCAAGCTGACGTCGGCATTGTTTTGAGTTCTTGAGCTGAAGCTGCCCCGATCGATTGGATTCCAGTCCACAGCCGGATGTGCGCCGTTAACTTGAAGGCATGCGGCACCACAAACTGCAGCACTGATTCAGTGAAAGATGATTTCTATCACAAACCTAACCATCTGCTTCGTTACAGACGAAGCACAGATACTGTGCTGCTTGCTGATGACCTAAGCGCCCTGATGAGCTTCATATGGGCGGCCAACATGGTGTAGGCTTCCGTGACGATAACAGTGGGCCGTTGCTACACCTGTGTGAAGATGCTCGTCTCCTTCTTGTGAGCACTAACTTTCGACGTAACACACGCAGAAGAGTGACTTGGCGCCCACCAGCCATGGACACATCGATCAGATTGCGCTTGTTTGCCGCTGGAGAGGCTGTGTCCAAAACTGTCGCTCGTTTTGGAACACAAGCGTGAACTCCGATCATGCTCTGGTGTGCGCTGACCTTCGGATGCGTTTCGGTGAACGTCCGCAACGTCGCTGTGACTGCATAAACATCTGCCAACTGGCGAAACCAGGTGTTCTGAATGCGCATCAAAGTACACTGGCTTCCGGGCTGAGTAAGTGCTTGTGGAACACCGTTGAAGTTCACTGGTTACGTATCCGTCAAACCTTACTATCAGCAAGCATGTCTTCATGCGGCAAATCAAATTGCCAGCCCAGACATTGGGTCTCTGCAAAGTCCCTGGAACTTATGGAAACTCGCCGACGTATTCCGGCTGGAAGCGAATACAATGAGACTCGCAGAAGTCTCAGGGCAAAACTGTGCGCTAGCGTGAAGTGACACCGCGAAGCTTGATGGTCTCATCGCGCATCTGAAATGGAAACAGCCGCTGCCGTTGATTATCATCGTATTATTTCCTCTGATACGGAAAACAGTCAGCAGAAGATCTGGTGTTAGGTAGACAGTGCGCGACGAGAGTGTAGAGTCGATCCGCAGCTTGTTAAAATGCTTGTATCGTTGGGCCGAACTATTTGCAAGGCAGCTTAGCTAATCTGTCATGGTTTGCCCTTCTCTCTGGGCCGTCTTTCTGGACCCGCCCTCACACACAGAAGTCCAAAATGAGATCAGATTGTTGACATTGCATATGGCCACTGGGGCAGATGGAATTCTCTTAGCTCTTTTTAAATTCGGCGGACCTGCTCTTGTAGATGTTTTACACGGGTTGCTAGTGGAGCTTTGGGAGCAGGAAACTGCCCCGACAGACTGGAGCCGCTCCGTCATAGTCCCAATTTTCAAGCGAGCCTCCCGTTCGGAATGCGGCAATCATAGAGGAATCAGTTTGATCTTAATTGCCTCGCAATTGCTTGCCTCGTTCTCCACAGACTGACTGGCTCTAGTGAATGCCAGCTTCGCTAGGAGCAACCTGGGTTTCTTCGAGGTCGGGGCTGCATCAATCACATCTTCACTTTGCGTCAATTGTTGGAGCACTTCCTTGTCTATTGGCGTCTTACCGTAGTCATGTTTCTTGACATAAAACTGCCTTCGATTCGGTGAATCGATGTGCCTTTTGGGACTGTCTGTTGAGGAAAGGTGTGCCTGATAAATATGTAAAAATTATCAAAGCGCTGTACGCGCATAGTTCGGGCAGAGTAGGAGGTTATAGCAAACTGTCGCCGCCCTTCAAAATCCAACGGTGTGAGACAAGGTTGCCTGCTGTCACCTTTCCTCTTCAATTTCGCCACCGACGAAGTCATGGAGATTGGGTTCACAGGAAACGACTTATAGGGTGTGGAGCTGCTTTCAGGCGAACGACTTCTTGACTTTGAGTACGCCGACGACATTACTGTTATCTGTGCTAGCTCTCAAACGTGCCAATTAGCACTAGCATTGACTGTCAGTCGTTTCGGGTTTTGCTCCATCGAAATGCAAAGTTCCCCAAGCTTGACAGGAACTCACCCCTGCGCTGATTCTTGGTGGTGATCAGCTAGAACTCGTTCAGGAATTCAAGTACCTGAACTAATATGTTAGTGCCAGTGGTGTCGAAGATGAGATTATGAACCGTATAGCGAAAGTTCGAAGTGGTTTTGCCAATCTCCGCCACCTGTGACGCAGACGCGACATCACTCTCGCCCTGAAGGGTAGAGTTTATAATGCAACCGTCCGTTCAACCCTCTTATACGATTGTCAGCTGGCATGCAGCTGTTGTATTTATTTTCCTTTTCCTTTATGTATTGCGGCACAGTAGCTGAGATATTTCCCACCTCTGACTGACGTGTATAATGATATGATGATGATACGATTATGAAACCTGGCCCATCAGGTTGTCAGACTTAAAGGGACTAGTCACGTTCGACCATCGCTGCCTTCGCAGCTTAGGTCATGTCTGGTGGGAGCACCGCGTGAGCAGTGAGCGTATTCAGCGCGGCGTATATGTTGCAGGAAGAGCGACTGAACTACTCATCAGCACTATTTCAGCTACCAGGCTCCGATGGCTTACCCAGCACACCGACTCTTGCGTCGTTTGCGCGCCCGGTGTTTATACGTAGGTATAGGAAGGGAGACCAAGGGATGTGTTGGTCAAGAAGAATGAGGTTCCTCAATTCGAAGTTTTTCTTTGTGTCTGGCGATTACAGGGCTGTGGATTGAAGATCCTTGAACACGTCTGGTTTTATGCATTATTTGTCATGGTAAAGAGCCGACTTTTGTTGTAAGTTTTTTTGTCCCTTTCTATCCAGCTTCCCCATCCAACTACTACATCATTCTTGGAGCATGTTATGTCACTAGCAGTTTGTCACCTACCTTTATTTTCACTAATCTTTAGTATCTCGCTTCTTCCTATGTCTTATAGCTATGTATTGCGGTACAATATTTGGCATGTTCCTCACCTTCAGCTAGTGGGCAATGTTGTTGATGATGATGATGACCTTCTAAGTGTTGTTCAGAATGTAAGAAACGACCCACTTGTGTATTCAATTCAGCAGCAATGATCACGATGTCAGTGTTCTTTTGAATGCGAAGAAGAGATGAGCGTTTAGGATAGAAATAGTATTTGATCCCTCTGAGCTACATTCACTAGGGACACAAACTGAAGCAGTGCAATGGCACCTGATCTTTAGATAGTACTTGTTCGCTCCATTAGAGGTTTGAAGTCGAACCGCACACATACAGTTGTTCCCCGGCATCCAATCGAGTAGATAGTTTTCAGCATATTTTCTGAGGGCGATACCAACACTGAATAACTTGCAACATTGACTCCGCATCGCCAGAGACACGAAGAGTGCGGCCATGAACGTCAGAATCAGAACTAAGGACTCGAAGATTCATCACAACGCTGTTATCTTCGGAGACAGCACACATCAATACCAAGAGAGTGAACAGTAAGGGTCAGTGCTATCTGCTAGTCGATCTGACCTCGAGTGCGGACGTTAAAAGAACCATTGTAGTATGAAACTCTAGGTTTGCTAGAAGAACTACATGTGTCGATGGCAGCAGCTGCGATGTCAGCGGCAGTCTTTTACTCAACAGATGAGAGAAGAGTCGAAAAGGAGAGTAAAATAAGAAGAAGGAGTATTATCGACGAGGTCGAGAGGGCCTATACTACTCTCCGCTTGCCCATTCCGAGAGAGGGGTTTTGTTCGCGGTGCCTTGACTTTAGCCTTTGGTTCAATAGCGTGATCATGCCTGAGTTGGTGTGCCTCGATGACTTCGAGAATAAAATATTTCATTATTTATTTATTTAAGGCAGGGGAGAGCAAGTCCCACTTAAGGGTATGGTTGCAGAGTCATCATCATTCCACACGTTAGCTACATGTGAAAAACACCCCAGCTACTGTGCCGCAATACATAAAAGAAAAAGGGGGAAATGCAACAGGTGCAAGCCAGCTCAGCTACCGGTAACGGATGGGCATCGTTCCGGTAAGCTACCAGCCGGTTACTACGCAGCAAAAAATTTTCTATGCTTAATTATATAAGGCTAAATAGTGAGGTCGTGGTTGGAAGGGGAGACTAAGAGATGGAGAGGAACAAAAAAACTCAGCACGAACGCTACTGAGGTAGGCTCCTAGCCATATCAGCAAGTGTATCCAGCCAAACATGTTCATCGTCTTTCGGACTCCAACCAGCGAGTCGAGACGCTCCAACCGAGGCCAGATCCGAAGTGAGGGCCTTCATTCCTCTCGACCAAGTCATAGCTTGGCCACCCCTCCTCTTCTTCCATCCACATCCCCGGCGCGAAAACAACGCACGTCGCGAGTCGGTGGGCTGGCATGCGTAACACGTGGCCGAGCCATCGGAGCCTGGTGCGTGAAATAACGGTGCTGAGCGGTTCATTTCTTTTTCCTGTGCCGTGAACAACGCGTCGAACACGCTCACGGTGTTGCCACCAGATGTGAGCTAAATTGCGAAGGCACCGGTGAGTGAACTTAACCAGCTTCTTTATGTCCGTGGATCTAAGGGGCCAAGTTTAACAACCGTACAGATATAAGCGAAACTTAATTCCGTTTAACCAGTAGCTGAGGTGTTTTCGGCCTCTAGCTAAGGTGTGTAAGGATGATGTTTAACCGTAAGCGCCTGCAGGATTTGTACTTAAGATACGTTGGATGATGAGTTAATGTTCATTCAAAATGTGCTGCGCGAAAAGGATGTTCTAACCGATTTATTTATAAAAACTCAAGTGAAACACAACCCGGTGCAGGTTCTGACAACCGAGATTTTCGACTAGGATCGGATGCACTAGCCGTCTTTTTGTCATGCCCTCAGTATGGCGTCACCCCTACTGCGGACTGAGGAGCTTTCGGTTTCTCCATCATTGGTTTATTCGGCTGAGTCCGTGTTGGTTTCGCTTTGATGCATTTATTCTACACAGTGGATTAGTGGCGTCCATATTCACTGTGCTTATTGTCTAACCTGAAAATTCGGTAATGGTTTAAGTAGTGTTTGTCATCTTGAATCGTTCTTTCTAGCAACGTTACTAAGTTATTGACATTAAGCGAATACTTTGTACTGATGCTTCGAAGCCGTGCGTTTACATGCGGTCACTCGCGGGTTTTGATACTGTGGGGGCACCCAAGCATACGCAGGAGCATGCATTTATTCTAGATGTCGCATAGTTTTTGTACCGTTATTTAGCAAATATTGAGGCCTACCTTCGGGCATTTTTTGACTTCATTCCTAGTATTGTTTTCAGGTTGTATGTCCGGCACTTATCACTGTGCAATTTGCAATGTTGTTTGCGATAGCGAACAACAACTACAGTTTCATGAATCGGGGAAGAAGCATCGTGCGCATTGCTTAAGATCTCAGTCAAACGGTGATGCTGCCTATTCGGGGCTCACTATCGCCCTGCCCCGCCAGACTACGCCCCATTCGTCACCCGTTCGTGGCGAGAAATCAAATCTGTTTGCTTGCACTCCTTTGGATGGTTCCACAGGCGATGGTATTTCTCGAGGATCTCATTATTGCGATATTTGTAAATGCCACACCAACTCACCGGAGCAGTTTTCGATTCACATTGGTGGTCAGAGGCATCAACGAAAACTGAAGCTTGCTTCTTTAAAATCTGCGATTCAAGAGATGGCTGAATCAACTACCACCGGCCAGATGGAGTTAGAAAGTTACGAGGTGAGTTCATTTGTAGCTGTATCCAGTATGTACCGCTTTACCAATGAGGAATTTAAACTGCAGGCGATTATCCTGCAATAAAATAGACAGTGTTTTAGCCATTTGATCCTATCACTGTTCATAGTCAACCCCCAATTATTCGAAGACTGTGCAAGCAAATAAGTTCTTCAGAATTCCTTTTCACTTGTGCAATTAAACATGGATCACACTGCATAGAGACAATACCAGTGTCTATATACTGTACTCAGTATTCATGGTATATCTCATTTTTGTTGGTGTTAGTTATTATCACAAGCACTGCTTTGCCTCTAGTCGATCACCCAGAGACGGTTAGTATAGGGGATCTTCTATACCGCTTCTGATGACAGTGTCAGAAGCTGTCCCTGCATGGAGGTGGATCCACAATTACTTAATTGCAATCTGATAAAATAATAAATAACTACAAGTAAGGTAATACACAGGTGACGTAAGAACTGCATCTGGGACAGGTGATCATGCTTAGAAAGATATGCCACGTACCTTTCAAGAATAAATTTATCCACTTAAAATTTCCAATATCCATGTTGGGGCTTTCATATGTACATGTTTGATTGCTCTTTGGACTTACTGTCGTGCTTTTTCAGTCACGGATGTTCTCTACTAGATTTTTATGCGCGTATCTCGTCAAAAATATAGATGCCTTCCGATTTAAGACGTGAAGAATGACCAGCTAATTATCGGCTACCCGGCGGAATCAATAGATTTTCTTCAACATGACCTACCGCCTCTTTCTCGACTCACTTTTGAAAATTTCCTCATTATGGATCAATTCGAAGTCTCAACTGGTACGCCTATGTGATGAACTGTTTATTTAAAGCCATGTATTTGCTTCATGCTTAGGTCCATGTTGCATTTATTATGCTACTTCATCGCAGTTTGGCTGGAATAACGCACTCATACTTCTTCCGCATGACAAGAAACCTGACTGAATCCATTTTATTTTATTATCTGATTTCAGTTAATCATCCGCGTTTTTCTTGTTTATTTTGCGCGTTCATTATTTTCGGTGTTATTAGATTGATATCCCCTGACTTATAGTTGCCCAAGTCACCCTAACACTAGATCAGACTTAATACACATTTTATCACTTGTTCTATTCTGTTATACTGCCGCACATTTGCTGTCTAGTTTTCTTGTTTATTTTCTTGTTATGAGTTTCCCGTTTGATATTCCCGGTGTGGATGCGCATGATGTGAATACTGAATCCGGTTCCGGATTTGCCTGTCACTGTGGCCAGCCACAGTACGCCTGCGCCTACAGAGGAACCATAAGTGGCTTGCGCTGCAGCACCCACAGCTCCATCCACACACCACATATCCAGTGTAAACCCGAAGGAATAAGACCGGGAGGCATGTGGATGGGAGCCACGTTTCATCAACGGAGCCGGCCCACTCTTTCACAGGCAAACACAAACACGCTGTATTTGGGAATCAAGCGCACACAAGATGGTGGCTGGGCCGTAGTCCGCTCCACACTAGGTGCATGGAACCACTTTTCGAGCCTAACACTTTCACGAGAACCGTGCACCCCGTCCCCATCCAGCAACGACCAACTGTTTCCTAGAGCCAGTATGGACGGGGGTAGTGAGTAACGGACAGGTAGGCACCTTGTCAGCATGCACATCAAGCGCAACCACCCCAGGGATATTAGCCAACAGCCAATCGCTTGAAACAACGATATCAAGTAAAATAAATCGAATGATGCATGCAGATATGCTGACAACTTTTCATTAAATGAGCATATGAAATAAATTGGTTGCCAACAAATCCGCGATAGGTTCAAGACGTTATATATATATATATATATATATATATATATATATATATATATATATATATATATATATATATATATATATATATATATATCCTTTGGTCCGAAGGATGTCGATTCATAGCTGCCGTAATCGAGAAGTCCTGACGCCGGAGGGCCAACCGCTATCATCTGCATGGCAGTGGAGGATTGGTCGGGCTATATCGCAGTTAGCTAACAATTCGTGATAGTCGGCTAACGTCCTCCATGGCTCAGTTGTATAAGCAGCGGGCTAGTTGGCACAAGCCACTAGCAGTCATGGGTTCGATCCTCCGTAGAGGACCGAAGGATGCGCACCCCTGACGAGCCCCAATAGGGCGAAGCGGCCGTTTGACGCTTTTCCGGATACGTAGTTGACTTATCTGGATTGTCGGCTAATTGCGACGAACAAAAGTACTCAGGGAATTGTGCCCAATGGGAGCCGGTGTCTCATTGTTCAATTAATATGTCTTCAGTTTGTTCAGTTGACAAACAGGGACCCAGTCCATCCTACAATTTCAGCATTACCTTACTGGAATACAATGCTCTACCAGAGTGAAGCAAGAGGACAGTGACTATTTAGTGGCGAGTCACTTCCGTCCCGTAGCAGTGTTATTAAACGGACATATTTGGATTTTTCTAAGGAAAATGCCTGCAAAGGGAAAACTCACCACGTCCTAGAACTCTTCCGCCAATCCATTTGCTGAAATGAGAGAAACTCGAACTACCCAGCTGGCATCACGGGGAGGTTGTTCGGCAAGCCATCCAATGTTCACAAGGTGTCTATCTGTCAGAAATCCTACATTTTGATTATGCTGGCTCCAGGAGACCCTTGGTCGTTACCTAGGGAGATGAAGTGCACGGTCCTCGTGACCGTGCTAGGCTTACAATGTGGTTCCATGTGATCTCTTTGGAACAGTGCTACGACCCAGCCACCGCCTTGTGTACTTCTGTTACGCATGATTCCATGTATAGATAGACAGGAATGCTGCTACTTTTTTGTTAAGGAGTGTGGCCTGGCCCTGCTGATGAGACGTTGTTCGCATCCACATGCTTTCTGGTCCTATTCCTTCGGGTTTACACTGGATATGGTGTGTGTGGATGGGACTGTGGGTGTCGCAGCACAAGCCATCAACGCTCCGTCTGTAGGCGCAGGCGTTCTGTGACTGTCCTCGTGGAGACCACACTGACAGGTAAATCCAAAATTAGATGCCGTCAACCATGCAAAACATATAGGAGAGCTCGGTGGCTTAGGGGTAAAGGCTTCGACGGACAACTCGTAAGCCTCGGTTTCGAGTGTCTGCTATCTCCACCTGGTGTGATCAAACAATTTCAAAACCGGTCGTGGAATCTGATGTTTTGGGGCTGTGAATATCCAATCTCCCTATTAAATAACCACATAGAGCTATAGATCTGTGCTTCAAAAACTGGACCAGTACGCGCTCTAGATTCCTCTATGACGAGACTTAAACAACAAGTGGTGGTTTCTTCTTCGAAGGCAACAGACCATTCGATCGGTAGTACCAATCGTCATACGAGCTATCAACACGAAACAGAGATGAGTAGCTTTAAAGCATCCAGTCCGACTCGTGCATTGTCCAAATCAAAAGTGCATAGGTGTGTCGAAGCGCACGACTGATGAGACCGGGGTGAACGTCAGCTGCCCATGCTCCCACTACTTATGTAGGGTGGAGTGATGGCATGTAGTCGGATGTGAAGACAACACTACAGCATCGCACCCGATACCATGGCTTGCCGTGGACTTCAGTCCACAACTGTTTTTTTGGAGTCAAGCTTGAAGGTATGATCGTACCCGTCTATCTCTTACTGACGCACTTGCGCAACCAGTGGCGGGAATGCGATGTATCATCGATGCCATTCTCGAATGTTTCTCCCCATTACCGACACATCCGTGGCATGAACATGATGTCTTCCATGCCTGTAACTTTGACATGGGGGTACATTTTTTCCAATTTGCAGGCCACGTTGCCCACTCGTCATACTACACTTGATTATCGGCTGTGGTCGAATCGCATTTGGCGTGGTAATGTATTCGCGGACGATACCAACGCGTATAATGCAAATTAAGTTTCTCATACGCAAACAAACCAGTCTCGGTTTAAGTTTGCCTACAGAAACCAGGTATTTTTGTCACTGAACACTAAATATTCTCAGAAGCATTCCATGATGTACTATTTCAGAGGACAGTACCAGTGCAATTGTTCAATACACATCTGAAGCAGAAGTTATGCAGTTCAAAGATTTTCCGTCAGCAAACGTTCTCCTGGCCTTAGTGACTGCGTATCCCTTTCGATCTGTGATATAGCTCCAGATTTATTGCTTTGCAGCAATCTAGCTTATGCAAGTGACAACAAATCGGCGAATTCACGCTATTTGATTCGATGGCATTAAGATCGCATTCGTCTTCCTCTCATCACCATTCGACTTTGTTATTCTCAATAGCTCTTCTTCCCGTTTGTCGCAGTGTTTTCATGGACACGTTATCTTTTAACCCTAGGATTTTTGCTGCATCTTATCTGTCATTTTCGCTTACAGATCACCTTGAGCAGTCCCAACAACTCGGGTTCTACCAGTCCTGTGCACGATAATCTCGCTGTGGATACCTTGTCTCCTTCCGTATCGGACAAACATCCTACTAAGGATTATTTGGTCTGGCGCAAGTTTCAACGTAGCTGTAGGGAATTTCTAGGCCCCATATGGCCCCATGTGACCTTTACTCAAGAGGAGGTGAGTGCTGCAAGGTATTGTTTCGTCTAACATCCCCGGACACCTCAATGACTTATCTTCTGTTTCTCATGCTTATTTACTAGCTACTGCCTCAAATTTCACGCAATTATCAACGAACTAGAGACAAATCAACATCACTGACAGACACGCCTCTTTGGCTGATATTACTGTGTTGGTTCTTATTCGCAGTATCTTTGGGACGGTTGTTTCCCACTTTTCGAATGATCAACCGGACTTGCGTTGACTGGTGTTACTAAATTTCGTCACATAAGCCCATGACCACAGTATTCTGATCACAAACAGATCTATCGGTACCTAAACACGAGTTATTACGATGAAATCATGCATATCATCCGTTCTCATTCAGTCTCGCACCACTTAGGCGTACAGTTATCTAGTTCCACGCAGCCATTTTAAGTTCCTGATCTCTCGTTTAACCCTACCTTTGTTGTTGGGCATACCTTTTCTGATTGCTCGGGATCCGTGGCTACCTCGTTCAACAAGGAACCATTTGGTTGTATGCGAGCGGCTATGGAACATTTGCTCCCTTGCGAACAACCTACTATTGCTCAGTCTCAACCACTAATCGGTGCCGTAAGCCACCTCAGTGAGTCAAAGACTAAAAATCTCCAACAGTGGGTTCTGGTGTGCTACGTCCCCACTTGCAACGCCTAAAGGGGAGCTGCAGTCGAGTGCCTTTCCGAGCATGTGGAGGACCACCTGGTTTAAAATCTGGTGCAAGGAACTCTCAATTAATTGTATCCTGTAATCTTTTCAGTAAAACAGACTAGGTCGCTTTCACTTCAGTCTGGAAGGCGAGACTAGCTGCCAGGACCCTGCTCAGTGCTCATTGGCTTCATTTCTCGCAGCTATGTTAAAGATCCCTTCTGCACTATCCGCTAGATAAAATACACTTATTTTCGGTAAACCGTTTACCAGCGACGTATCACTTCTCCAGGCCACCACAACCTACTCAGTCATAGCTGTTGGTTGAACGGCGCTGACCATTTGTGGGGATCAGCTAAAAGTCGTCCATAAAATCAACTTTCTTGGTAGCTGTATCCTCGCCTGTGGGATACAAGTTGCGTTTGCTACTCGTATAGCAAAGGCTTCTGCATTTGTGGTACCGGCGCAACCTCACTCAGTTTAAAAACTAGAACCCGCAACGTCACCTTTCGTTAAATCCTCCTGTATGGTTGTGAAACCTAGCCTATCAGATTGACAGACCTAAAGAAGCTTGTTACTTCCGACCACCGGTGCGTCCGCATTTTGACTCACATCTGGTTGGAACATTGCGTGAGCAATACGTGTTCACCGCTTTGTTTTTGCGCAGGAAAAGCAGGTGATTCGCTGTTTCATGCAGCAGGCTCCGGTGGTGGGGCCATGTGTTACACATGCACATGACGCGCGTTGTTTGCGCTACCGGGGTCCGGCCGAAAGAAGAGAGGATGAAGTGAGCCGACTACATAGTCAGAAGAAACGAGAGCTCTCACCTCGAGCCTTTTCTCGGCTAGTGCCTCCTGACTCGAGTTGGGGTCCTAAAGACGATGCATGACTTTGGTTGGTTACATTTGTCGTCTTGACGAAGCACCGACCTCATTGGCGACTGTGTTGTGAGTTCTTTTATCTCGCCCCATCCGGCTTGGCCCCCATTTCCAACCGTGTTCTCATCTTCTACGTGTGATACAATTTTCGTTTAACTTTATTGTTGTCTTTGTTGTTATTTTCGTTTCCCACTATTTTACACTACCATCTAATTGGTCTATTGCGGCACAATAGTCTATGTCTATGCGTCCCTTGCTAACATGTGTAAGGATGATGCTGATGTTGATTGTGCGATCTAACCTAACCATCGAGGTCTGGTATTCGCCTGCTCATCTTATCTTAGACGCCTTGGTGCCACTTGACGCGGTAAGTGCTCCGTTAGCAAACGATGGCTAAATTGTCTGAAGTGGACTAAGATCATAAAATGGAATCGACATAGTTTCACTGTCGAAGAGGAGTACGATTCTCCTTGCAATCATATATGCACAGCCTTCAATCCCAAAGGCAATCTGACGCCAAGGTTGCCAAAGTCTGGCGAGTGCAGTTCCAGCTCTTACGATTTGCGAGCTAACTTTAGCGGTCACACGTCCGTCGCTGACAAGATAGGTTGATTGATCAACTATCTCTAGTTCGTCCCCCTCGAGTGTCACAATCTGAGTAAATAGCTGCTGATGATGCAACGTTCGCTGCGCCTTACTTGTTAAAAGCGCATGCCCAAGGACTGAGCCATTACCAGAGTGATCGTGGATGTTCCACTGTTTCATCTGACGGCCACCCAGCTTGACTACAGCAGGGTCTCAATATCCGCATTACGCAAAATTAGATGGTGTTGTAGGAGTTCGACAACTAGTGAGCACCACTTACTATCGGAAAGGTGTCTGACAATCAGTCGCCACTTTGTTCGATTGCAGGTTACGTACTTCGCTTTTATTGTTCTCAGCGAGTTAGACACGATTTTCGATATGCGACACCGTTTAGAACTCTGCCTGCTGTTCTACCGTATGGGATTCGCATTTTCCAATGAGGCGGAGGGAGATTATAAACACTGCCTGTGTTTAGCTGATAACCATCGCAATGAGGCTGGACCTTACTGTGGTGCGATGGTCTGTGTGCCTCAGTGATCCGTTGAGCTATGCTGGGTGGTGCTTTTGCACCTTCAGAGTCACTCATACCAGATTGGTCAATGGTTTGAGGCCAGACAAACTCAGCCTCCTGGTCCTCCAGGTTGGGGTTGGACTGAGGGTGGCACCTTATTCCTTAAAACGGGCTCCTTGTAGCCCAACGCCAAACCCGCAGACTTGCGGTAAGGTTTTTGAACCAAAGGCTTTGGTGGAGAACCCTAATCGTTTTCCTGTCTAGTCCTGAGCAACCTGACAGTATCCTGCCCACCCAATACAATGAATCTCTCTACAAACAAATTTCTGATGCTCTGGCCACCGCAGAGGATAATCAACGGTGCCCTATCTGCTGCATCGAGCAGAGTGGATAGGAGATTGGATGCTACTGCTCAAGCCTTCCCGTCTTTTTATTCCTCCTGTTACGCTTTTTCTCCCTTTATGGTCCTGTTCCAACTTCACTTTTATCTCCCTGTTTTCAACCTCCCGATTCTTGGCCCTCCCCCAACATGCATTGCTAAGCGTTTATCTTCTAATTTCAGCTCACATGCTAACGCGGAGTGTCACTCCTCTCCTGTCGATAAGTCCATGTCCAACCTAGCGGTCCATTCCAGTTCATCGGCTTCCATTTGGAGCCCTCTATCCTCCTTCAGATTGGCATGCCTCAATGTACGCACATTGCTACAGATCGGTCAACAGGCAGCACTTGTCCGAACATTGGAGACCCTCTCGATCGACATCTGCTGCTTATCGGAGACCCGCCTGCAAGACTCGAGCTCCGTGCTCACTTTGCGATCCCCTTCAGGTGACGCAAGCAGTGTTTTCTCATTGCGCCTATCCGGTGACGATGCAGCTTCGAGCACCGGCCAAGCTGGTGTTGGCATTGCCCTGAGTCCCCGAGCTGAAGCTGCTCTGGTTGATTGAATTCCAATCAGAAGCCGGACGTGTGCTGTCCGATTGGCTGGCTCGTTCAAGGCTTCGAATTCGCACGGGACTAATAGGTGTATATTCATCATCGCTGCCTACGCGCCCAAAAACTGTAGCGATGATTTCGTAAATAACGACTTCTATCCTCAACTGACCCAGCTCCTTCGCCACAGAAGAAGCTCGGACACTGTAGTGCTGGCTGGGGATCTGAACGCTCAAGTTGGAAAGTTGTCCACTAATGAAATGCATTTGGGCAGTCAGCACGGTGTAGGCTCCTGTAATGATAACGGTGAGCTGTTACTTCATTTGTGTGAAGATGCCAGCTTGTTTCTTGCGAGCAATAACTTCCGACACAGCACCCGCCGGAGGGTGACTTGGCGCCCACCAGTCTTGGACGCAGATCGATCACATTGCTATCAGTTACCGCTGGAGAGGTTGCGTCCAGAACTGTTGCTCGATTTGGAGCACATGTGTGGATACCGATCATGCACTTGTATGTGCTGACATGCGGATGCGTTTGGGCGGACGTCCACGACGACGCTGTGAGCGCGTTGACACCAGCCAACTGACAAAGCCAGCTGTTCTGAATGCGTATCGAAGTGCGCTGACATGCAAGTTGAGTAAGCGCTCACTGGAGACAATTGATGATCACTGGTCACATGTTCATCAGACCCTACTAGCAGCAGGGAAATCCTGATGTAGTATGTCTAATTGCCAACATGGACATTGGGTCTCTTCGCGATCTCTGGAGCTTATCGATGCTCGCCGGCATATCCCGGCTGGAAGCGAACACAATGAAACTCGCAAAGAGCTCCGGGCAAGACTTCGTGGTAGCCTGAAGAGAGACCGCGAATCTTGGTGGTCTCATCGTGCGTCAGAGATGGAAGTGGCCACTACCCTTGGCAACCATCGTAAGTTATTCCGTCTGATACGGAAATCGGGCAACAGGAGACCTGGTGTTAGTGAAACAATTTGTGACGAGAGTGGACAGCCTATCCACAATTTGTGAAAACGTTTGGAATCTTGGGCTGAGCATTTTGAAAAGCAATTTAATCGGCTAGAATTGTTCGATTCTTCGCCGGCCAGTAGTCGCTCTTCTCCATAGGCTGCCCCTTTGGATCCACTCGCTCAGAAGTCGAACAAGAGATCGCACTGTTGAAGTTGAATAAAGCCGCGGAACCAGATGATCTTCCTTCAGCCCTTTTCAAATTCGGGGGACCTGCTCTTGTTGATGCTTTACATGAATTCCTAGTGAAACTATGGGAGCGGGAAATAGTCCCAACCGACTGGAGCCATTCCGTTATTGTTCCCATGTTCAAAGGAGGCTCACGATCGGAATGCAGCAGCCATAGAGGAATCAGTCTGATCTCCATCGCCTCCAAGTTACTCGCCTCCATAATCCTTCACAGACTG